TTTGAGTCAAAACCATACCTAACAGCAAAACAACCATCTTTACAGAACCAGACTGTCATAGTTTTCTCCTATGGAACAGCTTGTGGGTTTGAACCACTGATCTTTTTGTAAGTAAGCATCTGAGGAGTAGCCACTGTGCCTCCAGAGCTCTTTAACAATCGTCATTTGTGTGAGTCGGTTCCGACTCATAGCGACCCTATCTATTCATGACAGAAACACTGCCCAGTCTTGCCCATGCTAACAATTGTTATGCTTCAGCCACATACTGTGGCCACTGTGTCAATCCTTTTATATGAGGGTCTTCTTCTTTTTGGCTGATTCTCCAGGTACTTTTTTGTTTGTTTGTTTGTTTGTTTAGTGAATAATTTATATTTGCAAAAAGTCTGGAAAGGACTAATATTCACATTAACTCTTTGGTTTAAATAAAAATGGTGTTTATTTTAAAAGGCATTTCATGTATGAGCAACCACATGAAAGACTTTTCCTGTGCAATACTGTTGATAATAACACTATTTCTATCACCAAACATACTCCATGTTTACCAAGATGGCTAAAATCAGAGACAGGGGCCATATTTGATTTCCAGTTGGTTCTGAATTGAAGGAAACATCTTTATCGCAGTACAGTTTTTATAATTTCTGTCATTAGTCCTTTATGGACTACAGAAAGAATACAGTAGTACAATTATTGGTAGACATTTGAAGAAGAATCGATGCCCTCAAACCAAGGTGCCAGTGAAGCACACAGAATACTCATCCCATTGACAGCCACAAGAATGAACAAATCTGTCTTAGAAGAAGCACATCCAGAACACTCCTCAAAAACAAACATGGGGAGACCTTGTCTCATGTATTTTTCAAATGTTATCAGGAGGAACCAATCCCAGAAGAAGGACATCATGCCTGACAAAGCAGAGTGACCCTCCAGTTTATTAAACATGATATCCTTCTCTAGGGACTTGTCACACCTGGTAGCATGTCCAAGGTAAGAAAGATGAATGAAGTATGGAAGACGAAGTCTCGCCATTCTGGCTTCTAAGGAACATTCTGAATGTACTTCTTCCAAGACAGATATGTTTGTTCTTCTGGCAGTCCATGGTATTTTTAATACTCTCCAATACCATAACTCAAATGCATCAATGCTTATATGGTCTTCTTTATTCATTGAACAACTTTCACATGCATATGAGGCAAAATAGTTATACTTAATCTGAATTTGGGAGGTGGGTAAAAGTTTCAGAATTTTGCTCTGGGATGGAAGGATAACATCTCATATAGTAGGAACAGTGGCTTGGCAGCATGAAATGAAATGAGTTTTTTTGGCAAGTGAGCTTAAAAAACTATTAAGAGCTTTTATGTGGCTTGCCAAGTTTGATTTTTCTATTTTTCTTAAAACATGGACAGTAAGGAACCATTGAAGGGATGTCATCAGTGGAGTAATATCACATTTTGATCAGTTTATGTTTTCCCTGATTTTTAATAATTTGAACAATTTGGCACTCTCAGTTCTTTAATTTAGTTAGTTTTGGGGCTAAAAAAATCCTCTAAAGAGAGGTTCTTTTTTTTTCCCTTTTCTGTAGAAAAACGTTTCTATAGATATCTTTGTTGTTGTTGTTAAGTGCCGTTGAGTCGATTCCGACCCATAGCGACCCTGTATAGGGTTTCCAAGGAGCAGCTGGTGAGCTTGAACCACTGACCGTGCAGTTCAAACGACTTTGCAGTCTGATGCTTTAGCCCATAGCGCCACACCATAGATATCTTTAGACTTCAAAATATCTCAACAATTTACCTTCCCACTATTTAGTTTGAATAAGGAATAGTATAAAATATTGTTACTTACTCTTTAAAGCTTGCTTATGTGATGAGACTGTAGAAAATTTTTGGAAAAATACAATTAAAAGATAAAAATAAAAAATAGAAACTATTTCTCAGCATAAGCTCCATCAAGATTAAGACACTTTTGTAAGCATTGATACACTAGTCCTTTAGTCCATGCCTAAGTGTCCTGCTAACATGTCATTGTGGTCTTTATTACCTTAACTGAAGAAAAATGAGCATCCTTTTAAGATTGTTGTTGTTGTTAAGTGCCGTCGAGTCGGTTCCGACCCATAACGACCCTGTACAGGGTTTCCGAGGGTAAATCCTTTTAAGATTAGGAAACAAAAATCAGAAGGAGACAAATCAGGGCTCTAAGGTGGGTGCCTAATGATTTCCCATAGAAACTTGAAAAACGTGTCCTTGTTTGATGAGAGGAATGAGCAAGAGTATTGCCCTGTTGGAGAAGGGCTCTGGTGAAGCTTTCCTGGTGCTTTTCTGCTAAAGCTTTGGCTAATTTTCTCAAAGCACTCTCAGAATAAGTAGGTATTAACTGCAGTTTATCCATCCAGAAAGTCAACAAGCAAAATGCCCTGAGTATTCCAAAAAAATAGTGCATGACCTTTGCTCTTGACTGGCTTGCTTTTGCTTTTCATGGACTTCTTCTACCTCTTTGGTAGCATTGCTTTGATTGTGCTTGGTCTTCAGGATCATACAGGTCAAGCCGTGTTTCATCTCTTGTAACAATATATTTAAAGAAATGCTCCAGGATCTTGATTCCACTTGTTTAAAATACAAAGTTCTTCTCTTGTCTGTAGCTGATGTGGGCACAATGATTTTGGTACCATTTGAGCATGAAGTTAGCTGAATTTTTCATTTTTGGTTAGAATTGTCAGTGGAGATGTCTTTGGTGTTGGCTGTTGTTTCTGGTGTTAATCATCAATCCTCTTTAATTAGAGTAAGAACACAATTGTATCCTTGCAAATGACTATGGATGGTCTGCCGCTGTCAACTTTATCTTCAGCATCTTGTCTCCATCTTCAATACCTTCTCATCTTGTCCCTTCTTAAAATGAGCAGAATTCATGTAGCTCTGTTGGGGCTCATGTCAAACTGTTATCTTAACCTTCACAGTGCCTCAGACTAGATCCTGTTTGTAAATGTTGTTACAAATTAGTACTAGTTTATTGTGGTACAAAACAATTAGGAAATCCACACATTTTCCATTGACTTTCTGAAGACCTCTAGTAATTAATAGCTTTCGAGAAGCTGGGTTATATGAAGAAAAACGTGGCATCAGGATTGGAGGAAGACTCATCAACAACCTGTGATACGCAGATGATACAACCTTGCTTGCTGAAAGTGAAGAAGACTTAAAATTACTGATGAAGATCAAAGAGCACAGCCTTGGGTATGGATTGCATCTCAATGTAAAGAAAACAAAAATCCCCACCACTGGACCAATAAGCAACATTCTTATCAACGGAGAAAAGATTGAAGTTGTTAAGGATTTCATTCTTTTGGATCAACTATCAACACTCACGGAAGCAGCAGTTAAGAAATTAAATGATGCATTGCATTAGACAAATCTGCTGCACAAGACCTTTTTAAACCATTGAAGAGCAAAGACGTCAGCTTGAAGAGTAAGGTGCACCTGACCCAAGCCATGGTCTTTTCAATAACCTCATGTGGATGCGAAAGCTGGACAGTGAATAAGGAGGACTGTAGAATAGACGCATTTGAGTTATAGTGTTGGAGGAGAATATTGACAGTACCATGGGCTGCCAAAAAAACCAACAGATCTGTGTTGAAAGAAGTGCAGCCAGAATGCTCCTTTGAGGCCAAGATGGCCAAACTTCATCTCTCATACTTCAGCTATATTGTCAGGAGGGACTAGTTCCTGGAGAAGGATACCATTTTTGGTAGGGTGGAGGGTCAGATAAAAAGAGGAAGACTCCCATCGAGATGGATTGACAAATTGGCAGCATCAGTGGGCTCAAAAGTGGTAACGATAGTGAGGTTGGCCTAGGGTCGAGCAGTGTCTCGTTGTACTGTGCATAAGGTTGCTATGAGTCGGTACCAACTCAGTGGCACCTAACAACAACAACAACATATAGCCAATAAATTTTCACTATCTTACAAGTAGGCCCCAACATGCTGTATGTAAAATATCAGCATTTATAGTGTCTAATCATCGTCAGAATTGTAAATTATTTTATTTCTGCAAGACTAAAGCCTGAAATCCACCGTCAAAAAAAAATCCAAATGGTATGAAGTGACGTGCAATAAAAAATTTCCCTCTCATCCCTGTCCATTATTCCTAGTTTCCTTTGCTGGAGACAATCCAAACTGCGTATATCTTTTTATGTTTTCAGAGATATTTTGTACCTGTACAATCAAATTTATTTTATTTTATGTTTTTACCATGCTTATTTTATATTTCTATACTTGGTTTTGTTAACAATAGAATTTAGCTATTTTTTTAAATCAGTATACCAGTCTTTTATATTGTTGTTGTTAAGTACTGTCGAGTCAATTCTGACTCATAGTGACCCTGTACAGGATTTCCAAGGAGCAGCTGGTGGGTTTGAACTGCCAACCTTGTGGTTTGCAGTCTAGTGCTGATCCTGCAGCACCACAACAAGAGTCCAGTCTTTTATATTGCTGTTGATAAGTGCTCTTGAGTCCATTCTGACCCATGGTGGTGGTGGTGGTTATGTGCTGTGGAGTCGGAACCGACTCATAGTGACCCTGTACAGGGTTTCCAAGGCTGTAAATCGTTACGGGAGCAGAACGCCTCATCTTTCTCCCGCGGAACAGCTGGTAGTTTCGAACTGCTGACCTTGCGGTTCACAGCCCAATTCATAACCACTACGCTACCAGAGCTCCTTTTTGTTATGATCCATAGTGACGCTGTGTAGGGTTTCCGAGGAGCAGCGGGTGAGCTTGAACTGCTGACGTTGAGATTCAAACCAACCTTGCAGTCCAGCGCCAAGTGCCAGCCACAGTGCCACAGTAGGACTCTAATTCTGGAAGCAGAAATGTTTACATGTTCTGAAATTGTACAATTTATATATTATTCACTCTAGAATCTCACTTAATAACAAAGTCTGAGATTGGAAATCTAGAAATTAAGTTAGTATTTGCTAAGATATTAGTAAAATTTTTATAAATTTTTGTTTTGCAGGTATACAAAGCTAGGATATGCTGGAAATACAGAGCCACAGTTCATCATTCCTTCATGTAAGTTTTATTTTGTGTGTGTGTGTGTTTTTAACCACAAATGAGGTGATGAAAAGATTTTTCTATCCCCTTAATTAAATTAATCAGCTCTGACAATGTAAGTTTAAGTCCTTTGAAAAATATAATTCTAAATGTGACCCTTTTTCTTAGTTTTTTTTGTGTAACAAATTTTCCAGTTATCTCTTTAAAGAAAAAAAAAAAATGGAGTGAGCTGATAATCAAAACGATTTTATGCTTTGAGGATATTGGTACTGAAAAAGTAGTGTTGTAATTAGCTTAAGTAGTCTATCCCCCCAACACATCTACAAAGATTGTTCTTCGGTTTGCGTACATAATTATTGTTTGCAGGGCTAGTGCTTGTTGACATTAGTACTCATGTTCTAAAATTAGGATGGAATCTCACTGCTAGAGTTTTGACTGTTTTGTACTACACCAAAGTTATATTGTTCTTGTAGATTATGTCTCAAGACTTTTTATTCTATCCTATTTTTGATAACTACACTTTAGCAGACTGACCATTACCTATCTTTCAGCAGTCTTAAAACAGTACTCTGCCAATTGTTTTGTGAGCACGTTTTTTCTCTGGTACTTGATGAACATTCTGTTACACTTCTGACTTTAAAATCATTCAAGTTTTTTGTATATTTTACATAATAGTACCTCTGATCTCCTTGTCCTGTTACCAGACTAAGACTTTTACACATCAGATGACAAACTTTGAGCCACTGATTGGTAGTGGTGATTCCAAGCTTAATTTAGGAAGTGTTGCCATGTTGCCAAGTTTGCATAACAGTATTTATTCAGTTATTTGAATATTTTTACAGATTATGTGTTCTTCTAAATGGATAAATGGAAATATAGATACGCCCACCGCTATTATCTGTTACTGAATATTTAATCTGGAGAGCACATGGGATAGTTTTCATACCTATTTTTTCCAGGCAATTTGAGCCATGTGACTTTGTATATTATAAAGTTTAAAAACTTTTTTTATTTAGAAAATTTAAAAGATTAAGATGATGATAACGTTTTTGTTCTAAACTTGTCTAAGTTTAATGAGAAAAATTTTTCTAGCAAGTTTTTTCTGCCTTTCAAAAATAAAATGCTGGATATGTGTTAAAATGTAAAATACATTGTGTTTTATTGGTTGTACAGTTAATTATCTTGTGCTAGTTTTGGTTGCTGTAAAATAGTAGTTTTTGTTGGTCGTTTGTATTTTCATTTTTGTTCTACTTCTTCCCAGAAGAAATATTTTATACACATACAAACACACATTTTGTGATTGGAGAGAAGTCACTTGGCAGTGCAAACGGTTAATCGACTTGACTGATAGAAAGGTTGGCAGTTTGAATATACCTAGAGGCACTTCAGAACAAAGGCCTTGTGATCCTCTTTCAAAAGGTTACAGCTGTGGAACACAGTTCTACTCTGAAATGGTTTAGTTAGAATTGACTTGAAGATAATTGGTTTTTGTCTGTTGTTGTTACTAAGTGCTGTGGAGTCAGTTCTGAATGATAGTGACTCCTATAGGGTTTCTGAAGAGCGGCTGGTGGGTTTGCATGGCCAACCTTGTGACCAGCAGCCCTTTGCTTATCCTATGGTGCCATACCAGGTTTTTGTGTAGTTGCTGCTAAATGTAATTTAAAACAGCCCTTTGTTTTAGGTCCTGTTTTCTTTAAATAAAGAAATACTATTAGATTATTAGATATTAAAAAAAATAATTTTATGCAAAACTTTTCTTGACTAAGAATTGAATTTTTGTACCATAGGTGCTAAATTTGCAAAATGGTCACGATTAAAGTACAAACTATAGTAGGGTTACTGTGAGCAATCAGTGAAATAAGCATGTAGAATACTTAACATTGTTTGTTGTTATTAAGTACCATTGAGTTGGTACAGATTCATAGCGACCCTATGCATAACAAAGCCTATCGCCGCTGCCACTGTGCTAGTACATCTCGGTTTATTCCTCTTCTTCTCCCACCCTTCATTTTACCAAACATGATATCCTTCTCCAGCGACTGGTCCCTCCTGACCCTGTGTCCGAAGTAAGAGAGACGACGTTTGGCCATCTTGGCCTCCAAGGAGCACTCTTCTAAACGGATCTGTTGGTTCTTTTGTCAGCACGTGGCATTTTCAGTATTCTCCTCCAACACCATAACTCAAAAGCATCAATTCTTCTAAAGTCTTCATTATTCGCTGTCCAGCTTTCGCATGCATATGAAGGTATTGAAAAGACCATGGCTTCGGTCAGGCACACCTTAGTCCTCAAGCTGACATCCTTGCTCTTCAAAACTTTAAAAAAGTCTTGTGCAGCAGATTTGCCTAATGGAATAAGTTTTTGATTTCTTGACTGCTGCTTCCATGAGTGTTGATAGTTGATCCAAGAAGAATGAAGTCCTTGACAACTTCAATCTTTTCTCCATTGATAAGAATGTTGTTTATTGGTCCAGTGGTGAGGATTTTTGTTTTCTTTACACTGTGATGATGCACACAATCGAAAGCCTTTGCATATTCAGTAAAGCACAGGTGAATATCTTGCTGATATTCTCTGCTTTCAGCCAAGATCCATTGGACATCAGTAATGATATCCCTTGTTTCACGGTCTCTTCTGAATCTGACTTGAACCTCTGGAAGTTCTCTGTCAATGTATGCCTGCAGCCTTTCTGTATTACCTTTAGTAAAACTTTACTCACATGGGACATCAAAGAGATTGTTCGATGATTTCCGCATTTCGTTGGGTTACCTCTCTTTGGAATGGGCACAAATATAGATCACTTCCAATCAGTCAGATACATTATTAAACTGTCACAGAATAATATGGAGATAAGTTATTACTTTAAGGCGGTCTGGTAGCATGTTGGTTATGAATTGGGCTGCTAACCTCAAGGCTGGCAGTTCTAAACTACCTGCTGTTCTGTGGGTGAAAGATGAGGTTTTCTGCTTCTGTAAAGATTTACAGCCTTGGAAACCCTGTGCAGGGTAACTATGAGTTGGAACCGACTCCATGGTACTTAACAATAATAACAAGTTATTACTTTGGATACAGTTTTTGATAGTCTAAGAAATATTTGATTTGAATCCCTTCTTATTTAAAAGATTGTCTTACTGTTGTAATCTGACAGGGATATATATATATATAAATATGTATATATGCCACCACTTCCCCCATACTCATCAAATTTGGAATCAGTTAGCTAAATGTAGGATTTTTTTTTTTTTCTTTCATTATTCTGTACCTCTACTTCATTAAGAATATGGTGGTTGTGTGCTGTAGAATTGGTTCCAACTTATAGTGAGCCTGTGTAGGGTTTTTGAAGCTACAAATCTTCACAGGAGCAGAAAGCCTCATCTTTCTCTTGTAGAACAACTGGTAGATTCACCTTCCTGACCTTGTGGTTGTCAGTCCAACTTGTAACCCACTACATGACTAGGGCTCCTTCATTAATGATGTAATCATTATTAAATGAAAATATAACAGTTAATGCCAGATCAATGTTAAGTCCATTCAGATACAAATAGTTTTGAATGAAGATCTGATTAACATGCAATGTTTAGAACTTTATGCTTAGTTAAGAAATATAAAACAAGGTTTAGCTCTAGACTGATGCTGAATTTCTGAAGTTATTTAAGGAGACTGTTGTATGTTTTGCCTACATGATTTGAGATACCATGTTGTATATATGATGGAAGTTTATTAAACCTTTATGCTGATGTTGGAGCATGGCAGTTCTTTTCAATAAGCGTTGGACTGTGAACCACAAGACCTACAGTTCAAGCTCTGTGGGATAAAGATGAGACCTTCTGCTCTTGCGAAGATTCAGAACTTCGGAAACCCTATACATGGTAGCTATGAGCTGACACTGACTAGATGGCATTTAACAACAGTAACGACTTGCTGATCTTACTTAAATTAGTAGTCTGGCCTGGTGTGGTGCAGGACTGCTAAGCCACAAGGTTGGCAGTTGCAACCCAAGAGCCACTTGAAAACCTTATGCAGGGTCGCTGTGAGTTGGAACAAACTCAATGGCACTAACAGCAATGGTTACTGCAAGTAAGTTTGAAGATACAGAGGCAGTTTTTTGTATTCATTTGACAATTTTTCTTATATTCCTTAGTCTTTTTCACTGTTCCCCATCTAATTATATTAGCTTACTCATCATCACGATAGGTCGTACAGAGCATTTAGAGATACAACTAAAACATTTTCATAGCTGTACTTCTTTTTTTTAGCTATTCACATTTGAAGACTTGTTTCTGAATAGAGTTGAAAATTCATTATTCTCAAATTAATTTTGTTAAGCGTTCTTATGGTCATTGAGCATTAATGTGAAATTTTTAATATGCTAGGTCATGTTTTGTTTCCTAATATTTTACAATGAAAGAAGCTAAAGGTTTGTCTCATTTGAAAAAATGTATTTTTTTATATTTCTAAACAACTTTTGTTTTGAAGGTATTGCTATTAAGGAGTCAGCAAAAGTGGGTGACCAAGCTCAAAGGAGGGTGATGAAAGGCGTTGATGACCTAGACTTCTTCATTGGTGATGAAGCAATAGAAAAACCTACCTATGCTACAAAGGTGTGTTTTTATGATTTGTATTGATTTACACATGCTGTTTAAAGGTTGGTTTGTTAAGTGATTGTGACTACTGGAATTTCACTCAACCTGTGTTGGTGGTTCAAGCTTACCACCTGTTCCTTGGAAAGCCCTTACAGGTCACTATGAGTTAGAAGCAACTTTATGGGACTTAACAACAGCAACGACATAGGTTTAATTGCCTCAACTTGGTTACTAATAGACATTTCTCTCTGGTGACCCCTTCTCAACCTTGCTTTAATATTTTCCCCCAAGAAGAAAATTTTATCCTGTTGTGGTGATCATTATTTCGTTTTCCATTAGATCTCAGAGTCCATGAGAAGACTTTCTCTTACCTCTGCTTGTTACATCTAGACCATTTCTCTTCCATTTTCATTCAAGCCCACACCATTTCTGTCCTAATATAAGTTTATATCAACTGGAAGTGTCCTTCTTTCCCCATCTTGTTCTTTCTCTCTTCCAACCTTTTTTATTGAGACAGTTCCCTAGTTCCTGTGGACAGCTGCTTGCCCTTTAATGTTATATAAATTTGTCCTCACTGTGAAAGGAGTGAAGCAACCCCTACTCCCAAGAAATTCTTCATCACCATCACTTTCACTTGCTGCCCGTGCAGCTTATAAATCGTTAAAAAGGCTTCCAGGAGTTTGTGGCACTAAACCCTCTGCCTTCGAGTCTGTTGTGACTTATAGTGGCCTACTAAGGGATTCCGAGAAGAAATCTTCACAGAAATGGACAGTCTTTTCTTTCACCCATGGAGAGGGATTGATGGGCTTGAACCACTGAGCTTGTGGCACTAAATATATAGTGTGAAGAACTTTTATGACTATAATCATAAAACTTCTATATAAAGAGCAAAATTGTAACCAAGACATTTCCTGTGTCTGATCCTGCACTTAACACTTGCTCGTCAAAAGGTAAGCACTGTTCTTACCTTTATTAAACTCTGTTTTAGAGATTGACACTGCCTAATTTGTGAATTTTCTTTCTTTCATACCTCTTTTATTCTTTTCTCTCATAATTTATTTTGTATTGATTAGTTACCATGTGTAAAAAGCTGCTTGTCCAGTGGTAGATAGGAAAGATAGCTTCTTGACTTTAAGACTGTTACACTATGATGGAAAGGAAGACGTTGTAAAATAATTTCAGTTGTGATGGGGCTTAAGTGTGAACAAGGTTCCTCTGGGAATATGAGGGGACTTCAAAATAGTTTGTAGAAAAATTTCATTGTCTTTAATTCCATTTTTCCATGAACCTTTTGAAGTCCCCTTGCATATAATAGAATAGTTAACCTAATTGGGGATGCAGGACAAACCTTGACAAAATCTTTAAGCTTGAGGCTTAAAGAATGAAATAGGAGCTAGCTGAGTGAAACATATAATCAAGGTTATTTTAGGCAGAAGGACAATATGCAGGAAGAATGCATTTTAAAGAATGAGGGAGCCTGGAACATCAAGACCAGTATGCCTAGAGTGTAGATAGTGAGATGGGAAAAGTGATGAGGACAAGATCATGGAAAGTATTGTTAGTCTAGGTAAAGAATTTTAACTATCAGATACGCAACATTTATTGGTTTAACTTTATGAATAATTATAGTGATGAAAACCACAAATGTCGGAATCTGGCTGTTTGGGCTTGAATTCTAGTTCTACTACTTTCTAGTTTTGTGTTGTCAGCCAAATCACTTAACCTTTCTGGGGTTCATGTGTTTTTATTTGTGAAATAGAGATATACTGACATAATGCATGTACAGAAATTTTTACAGTGCTTTGACCATAATGAATGATTAGTATATAATGGCTGTTTTATTATTTTTAAATGATCACTAAGGTTTCAGTGACAGTGAAGATAAATTACTTGAGGTAGGCAAGCATGATTCTAAGCAGACTAGGTAACTAATTAATACATAATTTAGGGCAAGATATGTTAGTGACTGATTCTACAATAATAACTGTACAGGGAGAGAGAAGCAGAAAATATATGTGTATACATACATGCATAAACACGTGTAACGCTAATTATGGAAAATGTTATGCACTGAAGTAGAAAAAATGCTCGCACCCTTGTGTGGCGCTCTAGTATAACCACTGACAGCTAGCTGTAAGACCACTCCTCAGAAACCCATATATAGGTTCGCCTTGAGTAGCAACTGACTCAGTGACACTTAACAACAACAACAGAGAGGAAACTAGGATGAACCCTTGTACCTATCACACAGTTTTAGCAATTGTCAGTCTGTGGCCAGTCTTGTTTTAGCTATAGTCCCCTCTTTCCTACTGGTTTATTTTAAAGTAAATCATAGATGTAATTTAAACTACAAATACTTGTCTTTTCAAGATAAGGGCTTTTAAAAAGATAAATCTCACACTTAAAAGTCATATAAATTCATTAATGTCATGTAATATCTAGCCAGCACCCTAATTATATCCCTTATTATGGTACTGTATTGGTTACACTGTTATAATCACTACCCAAACCTTAGTATTCATTGCATTTGGCTGATAATACTTTAAATCTCCAATATATAAACGCTGCTCTCTGTATATTTCTTTTTACTTCTTGGTATTTATTTGTTGAAGAAACCTAGTTAATGGTTTTACAAAGTTTCCTGTATTCTGGATTCTAATATTTCCATCCATATTATGTCATTTAATATGGTCCTCTATTTTATTTGCTTTTTTGATGGAAAATGGTCATTAAACTTAGAGGTCTGTTTAGTAACAAAGAGGTCTGTTTAGTAACAAAAAGAAGTAGATGATTACTGAGAAACAGGAAATGATTAATGAGTTATTGGTAATTCTGAAGTGGTAATGGAGGATAATTCCTATTACCTTGGTAATTTCCTTGTTGAGATTGAGAACATTACTTGACATGCACTTTTTTTTTTAAGGTTTTTATTGTGGATTGAGTGAAAGTTTACAGGGTACATCATCAGTTTTGCATTCAACAAATCATACACCTTGTTTCATTACAATGATTCTAATCCACTCCATGTAACATCAGTTAACAGTATTTCTCTCTATTCATTTTAGCTTTTTTTTTTAAAAACAAAAATAAAAAAACTCGCAGGCATATATAATAATTTACATCTCCAAAGGGAACATTCTGCAAGTCTGCCTCCTGGCCACCAACTCTTAGTTTCCCTCTTCCCATGAATCTGGAGTTCTTAGCCGCTCCCTGTCTCCATGTCCCCATCTCTAACTCATCTCTGGCATCACTGATTCTCTGGATAAGGTCCATATTCTGCTTGTTCTCTTGTCCCTTGATGGTTCTAGGGTCCTCTCTGGACTGTAAGATTAACATCTCCCTGTTTTTGTTACAAAACTTCTACCTTTATAATTGTGACAGTTGCAATTAGTCATGATAACAGTTATTCACTATTGAATCATACAAATATTATCCCCATCTATTTTCACCAGACCCATCTAGACAAGATGAAAACTATTTAGTGAGGACTCTATTCAGTCAGTGGACTGTGGTTAAACTCAACCCATTTCTTCATTGCTGCCTTTCCCCCTCTTCCACTCATCATGCTTACTTGCCTGTTCATGTGTTCCCTTTGAGTTTTAGTCTTAGAGGGGAATTTGTCCTGAAGGTACTTGATTGCTTGCCTTGATAGCTTCCAGGTGAACAGCTTGCTTATTCTTGTAGTAGCCAGTCATGCTGATATTTTTGTTTTGGGTTTTTCCTGATGACCTTTCTTTGAAGATGTATCTTCTGCTGCTCTAGCTGTTCCTGGCGGGTCTGCTTGGCCTTGCTAGTGGGAATGCCCCACCTCTTAAGGTTCTGGGTGGGACTCAGGATTCCACCTAAGGTCCTGTTATACTCTGCAAAGGCTTTGCAAGAGGCCTGTTTCACTAGGCAAGTTGTAGAACCCCTTGTAGGTATTCCAGTCAGTTATAGGCAGAAGATGGGCTTACAAATTTTCTGTAATCATGTCTCCCAGCATTCCTTTCTCTCCTACTCAAGTGTCTATTTTATAATAGTAGGCGGGAAACCAATGTTCATAGGACAGTCAAGCATTTTAGTATTATTTCCCCTCTTCAGACTATGCCTAGATCCCTGTATCACAGAGCCCTGTTGTTGCAAGGTTGAGCGTGCATCACTGTTTACCTCTGTCCCACTTAGGCCATGCAAACGTGTCTCAGTGTTCTCCTATCTTATTCTTCCACCTCCTCCCCCTTCTTGTATTGCCCTCCCCAACACCTGAACTAAACCCTCCACCCCAACCCCACTGTTGTGGTTACCTTATATCCCATTAACTTTTCCCTCCATTTAAGACAGTCTATTTTATCCTGTAATCTACCTGACCTTCCCACCACCTGGATCTCTGTTCCTCTGTGTTTACCTTCTTTCACATTGTAATTGTTTTGGTCATAGACTGATTGCCCAGAACCTCTTTTCTTAGGATTTTATTCTGTTCTTGACTCTTCCATTTGTTGATTGAGTTCAGGGTGATGCTGCCGTGTACATCATTCTCTGGTTGTTGTCCATTATTGTTGGTTGTCAGTCCACAGAACTTCCTTTAAGATGGTTTCCATAGTAGGGTTGGCTTTGGCAAAATCCCTTTAGCTTCTGTTTATCCTGGAATGTTAAAATTATACCATTGTATTTTATGTATAGCTTTGCTGGATAGAGGATTCTTGGTTGGCAGTTTTTTTTTCTTTCAGGGGTTTATATGTGTGTCTCCATTGCCTTCTTGCCTGCATTGTTTCTGTTGAGCGATCTGAACTTAATCTGATATGCTTGCTTTTGTATATGTTATACTTCTCGTTTCCCTAGCTGCTTTCAGTATGCTGCCCTTATCTTTGATTTTGGAGAGCTGGGTTTTTATTTGTTTTGGTGATTTTCTTTTAGTATCTATTCTTTCTGGGGTTCCTTGAGCGTCTTCTTTTTTTTTTTTTTCCTTTAGCTTCTTGAATGCTTATCTTTTTGCTTTTCAGAATGGTAGGAAATTTTCTTCCAGAAGTTCTTCAGCTGCCTCG